GTTGGACAAGGAAGGCGCAACTATTGGACTAGAAAACCATTAAACTGTTGTTGGACAAGGAAGGCGCAACTATTGGACTAGAAAACCATTAAAATGTTGTTGGACAAGGAAGGCGCAACTATTAGACGACATAACCATTAAACCCTTGTTGGACAAGAAACTGTTGACAAGAAGTAATTTTGTATTAAGTCAGACAAGAAAATAAAAGTTGACATTAGGGTTAAAAAGCCATCATTAAAGTATTATTGAACAATGCGTTTGTTCGTTAGCTCTCAACCATCACTTCAAATTCAAAAGAACTACATTAAGAGAGTGTTTTTCTCTGTCTTATTATATGCTATTTGAAGCTATTTGAATAGGGATTTAGACAAGACACAAGTCATTCAAGTGTCACATACTCGCAGAAAACAACTAACGATTTATTTCAACTATACTTCAAGCTGTGTAAAGAGCACGATAACGATTCGTCATCAAAAGTACAGCAAAAAGCCTTTCACTTAATAGGATTATGGCACAGTCATTATAGTTTTAATTTTGAAGTTTAGACTAAATCAAGTATATATCTAAAATAAGCTACTTTTTATTTATATTTAGATATTTATTTTTTCAATTTTTTTCCAGCATCACTCTTTATTTTACGTGTGGACGAGAATTGTTTTGATGGCGAAATAAAATTTTAAAAAATAATTAAGTGTGGACGGAGCCTTAGTGCTTAATCTGCAAGAGAGTAATACTCAAGAGAATGACACGTGGGTTAAGAAGGCAAAACGTTAAACCCAAGTGAAAGGGAAGAGCGAAATATCTTGCCTTGCAAACGTTGACATCAAAAGCTCCCATTGGTAGAAAAATTTTTTTTTCAATTCTTTTTTTTTTAATTTTATTTATTTTTTATTAGGAAATTTTTATTAGGAAAGCGATGAAGTAGGCGGATAGGATTATAATAGGGAATCAAGAGGCAATCTCCGGAATAGTTAAAGTTTTCTTGCTAAGTACATTATCTTTCCCACGATACCAGCCCACATCAAACCGGCTGTTTTCAAGTTTGTGCAGCTTCCATAGGCTATAAGAAATAATAACAGGTTCAGATCATCGTAGGTTTGATGGACGGAAGTCAAAGCACTTGATTGTTTTTTGTTTTTAATTTTAACTAAAAAAAACTTTTAAAAAAATGAAACCAATATTGGTCACATTTAGAACCAATTCACGTAAAAATCATTTAACAAAATAAATTTAAAAGTAAGTTTAAATATAAGATTTTTTTTTTTTTTTGCGATAAATTTTTGTCGTCCTCTTTCTTCCACATGACATGCGCGATTAAAAAGAGTAATAA